ACCCCCGTAGTCTTACAACACTTTCCATACTACCTGATTACTAGTGAATGCTACGGCTACCCCCGTAGTCTTACGACACTTTCCATACTACCTGATCGTAGTGAATGCTACGGCTACCTCCGTAGTCTTACAAAACTTTCCATACTAACTGACTACTAGTGAATGCTACGGCTACCCCTGTAGTCTTACAACACTTTCCATACTACCTGATCGCTAGTGAATGCTACGACTACCCCCGTAGTCTTACAACACTTTCCATACTACCTGATCGCTAGTGAATGCTACGGCTACACCCGTAGTCTTACAACACTTTCCATACTATCTGACTACTAGTGAATGCTACGGCTACCCCCGTAGTCTTACAACACTTTCCAAATCGGGTCGAACACGCACTTGACCTAACCCTCAACTAAACTTGAGTCCTAACTGGAGCTCTACTCTGGTTCCCGAAACCTGTTGTCAAAGAGTCTCGAAGGCTGTCTACTGCTCAGGCCCCCAATGAAAGGCCACCGACTTCTTGGTCAGTCGGGTCAAAGGAACCGTAATCTCGGAGAAGTCCCGTACAAATCTCCGGTAATAACCCGCTAAACCCAGGAAACTCCGAATCTCAGTTGGAGACCTCAGAATCTCCCACTGCATCACAGCCTCTATCTTGGCCGGATCGGCTAGAATACCCTTCTGGTTGACAAGGTGCCCAAGAGATTGCACCCCGCGCAACCAGAACTCACATTTGGAGGACTTTATAAAAAGTCTCTCCCCCACTTAGATTCAATTAAGTCTTCACGGCACGCGAGAATTGAAGGATTCCCAATCCTTCTCGCTCTCTAGTATCCCACTGATGACAACATGTGCTTACCAATGCTAGCGATTAATCACCGGTTTAACCTTGAGATCGCCCATCCTCGGAAATCTTGATGAGTACTCTGGAAATCTGGTCCAGTCTGACACCTTAATCCATCTCACATGCTGTCAATTGAAGGCCTAAATCTTCACTCTGGCTGGCGAATCCTCGTTCCCACTCCTAATCTTGTGGTACCACTGAGCTCTAACCGAACACAACCCATGCGTCTAACACTCGCAACTGACTCCACTATCTTCATGATACCAGTCCTCCCCTAGCAACGATAGTGCCTTGAACTCCGAAGTTCATCCATAGACAATTGTCGACCATTCCTGAACCATGATAGAATCACTGAACTCTGACTTCACTGGAGAACTATAGCTCTACTCCTGACCGAGTATCCTCTAACTAATTCTTCTGCACAGATCCCGAAAAATATCCGGAATGATAACGGTACACGCGAAACCCACTCCGCAAGATGCGTCCCTATGTGGGTTCATCAAGGACCTTTCGGCATGCAGGATGACATATATGATCCTTGATAACCCAAACACTAGCAGAAAAACCGACCCGAGGTCTGACTTATCCAAACTCACTCAGAATTCTAAAGCGATACGTATCCCTAACGTCCATCTAGCAGCAGTAAAAGACGACATACCCGCATCATTTGGAGGAATACGGATCACCTTCAACTGTCATGATCAACCCTGCCACACCTATAGCAGCCTAAACCCTTGGAGTGACAAACTTCCTCGTGCACTTCCTCGTACGCGTTGCACTGACTCCGACTCTGTTGGCCATTCACCCGATGATCAGAAGTCATGGGTCTCTTCCCGGGACCCTCTACTATATGCACCTAGAACGAACCTCTCTTCTCAAAGTGCTCCAATCGATCTTGCATCTGCAAACTCTTGGGAGTCATATCCTTCAGGGTCTGACACCCTGCCACGCTCACTAGCTCACTTGCCAATGGCCAAGCTGCAACACTGGAACATCTTCTGTCCCCAAACCAGGTCACAAACTTCTCCCCGAAGCTTCTCAGATTCTCCAAGACTCTCACTGATTCGAGTATGGATCCTGTGCTTTCAGTAGTACGTGCCCAATACTACCTTCCACACCTATCCATACTTTCCTCAGGAATCCTCTCGGATCCTCCAAGTCACTTCCTCAAACTGGTACACCCAAGTCTCACTGAGCCTCACTACTAACCCACTGAAACGTATCGTAGGCTTCCCTAGGTTCACGTACCTACCCAATCCTCAGCTGCTGAAAGATTTCCAATAATGTCAACTAGCTACCTCATGAATATAGCCACATGCAACAGAGATCAAATAATCCTTGGAGTAATAGACCCATCCCTAGAACGGTTGGACTCAAAGAAGAGCTGCACAATAGGGTCAAATCTATCACTCTGAGATTATCCAGCCTGTGCCACATGTGACTTAGCATATTCACTTAATAGTTAGCTCACATTACTAAAAGTCCCACAAAGCACAAAGCAAGCAGCATTCAGACAATGGAAAATCTAATCCTCATATTCCAATCAAAATCATTCTATCCTCTAATCAGGAATCTGTACATGCAATTCAAAGGCTCATACAATCAGGCATAACCTAAACAAGCTATCTTATCACTGACTGATCAGTACTAGCATGCAAGTCTACAAGCACATACAATAGGCATATAAGGCATCCTCCTAGATCCTTAGCCCTAATCTAGCATGCAATTCTCATAATCATATCATAACATAACATGTATGGGTATCTTGGGGAAAACTTACTTGAGCTCGGCTGATTGCACGCATCACACACCTTGTTCTTTTCAAAGTTCCTTTTTCTCTTTTCAAATCTTTTCAAATTTCTTTTTATAAATGATTTTAATTTTGAAAATTTTCATACCAAGTCCTTAGTTTGAGTTCAGACACACCCGAGAGTGTGCCCGAATCCCTCAAACCAAGGCTCTGATACCAACTTGTAGCATCCCAAAATTCAAGGCTAAAAATTTCATTTTTAAATAAGTTATTACATAAAACCGTCAGTATAAAAACAATCATAATAATATATCGTGTCAAACCAAAGTGTCAGTAATCAAAACATATTATCATAAAACCATATCAGAGTGTAATCCCAAAGATCTCATGTGCGGAAAAACATAGTGTGATGCACTGCGATCAAACCGGCTCCTTTCCTTTGAAAACGAGTACCTGAAACCAAAACTGTAAATCGTAAGCACGAAGCTTAGTGAGTTCCCCCATCGTACCGCATACCATACAATCACATAACATACATATATTGTCAGGCATATCTGGGTGCCCGACCTACCCCTTCGGTCCTCTCGACCGGATACTGCCTAGCATATCTGGGTGCTGGGCTCCCCTTCGGTCCTCTCGACCGGATACTGCCTAGCATATCTGGGTGCTGGCCTCCCCTTCGGTCCTCTCGACCAGATACTGGGGACTATTTCACCCCTACCACTACCACATAAAACCCTAGCATATAAACATAAATCACATACTGCCTAACATATCTGGGTGCTGGCCTACCCCTTCGGTCCTGTCGACCGGTAACCGGGGACTATTCCACCCCTTACTTCTACCACATAATATCATATCACATATATCATAATCTGGCTAGCATGACTGGGTACTAAACTACCCCTTCGGTCCTATCGACCGGTAGCTGGGGACTATTTCACCCCCTACTTTCACTATCACATAAAATCATATCATGCCAGTCCATAAACATAACAGGTAGTAGCAAACATAGACAATTATCACGAAGACAACCATTTAACAACTCCTACTGGTGGGCCGACATTGTGGCCGTAGACCCACCCCTACTGGAAGGTAACTCACCTCACACTGCTGAAGTCTCGTAGAATCAACCCCACACTGCTGAAGTTCCGCAGACTCAACCCCACATTGCTGAATGACAAATTCCCGATCTGTCAATATCAAAACATCACCCAATTAATAATTGGGTCCCACTACATAACCATAAGTATATTCTTTGGGTAATTACTACATTACCCCTAGCTTGGCTTATTCAAGCCTAAGGCCCAATCCATAGGCCCAAAGGTCAACTATGAGTCAAAGCCCAACATATGACCCAATTTTCCAAATTGGGCCCAAACCCTTACAAGGTCTTACCATAAGGCCCAACCATTTAGTCCAGTCCAACATTCAGCATTCTAATGGCCCAATATCACATAATCATAAAGGCCCAAACCATGGACCATCTATGGCCCAATTTTCCAAATTGGGCCCAACTCCTCATATGGGCCTTACCTAAAAGCCCATTAATTATTCTAGTCCATTTGCTTGATCTTGGATGGCCCATTAATAACCCAATCATCAAGGCCCAACAATAAACCCAAGTGAAATTAGGGTTTTCACATAAAATGACAATTAGGGTTAAGTGTTTCTCACTTAACCCATTAAGGACTTAATCCATTAAGTCCAATATTGCTTAGATTAATCTTTGCCAATGATTATGATTTAATATATCAAGCTATTAAATAATTCCCGTGTGTGTGTCCCGATGAATTCCCCAAAATTAGGGTTTTGATGGCATTAGGGTTTTCCAAACCCTAATTAGGGTTTCCAACCCAAATACTAGCCCATTTATTAATTTGTTGGGCTTTTATGTCAATTAGGGCATTATTGGGCCTACTAGGCCCACTAGAATATCATTAAGCTCATTAGGGTTTTCACTAAGCCCATTAGGCTTCATTGGGCCCATTAGGGCTTCTTTGGGCCCATTAGGGTTTCAAGCACCCCAAACGAGTCAACACAATCTGGCAAGGCACACCGCCACCCGACACGGCGGCTGGTGGCGGCAGCCACCACCCTACGGTGGTGGTTTGAGTTTCTTTTCACTATTCTTCTTTCTAGTTACATTTTACAATGCTAAGACCCCAAATAATCACACACACACAGACACTAATACAAAAACATATACACAGCAACCTAGTGGTGGCCGGCGGTGGCACGTGGCGGCAGCCACCATCCTATGGGGGCGTTTTTCTTCAATTTCCGGTCAAGATTACAACTCCACAACTTCACCCTCAAAATATATGCAATGGCACCCTATTACTCGCATACAGCCACCCATCCACGGTGGTTGTTGGCGGCGGAGAAGAAAGAGCGGTGGTAGCCACCATGGCTGGCGGCATGGTGGTTCTTCTTGAGCTTTTCCGTCCAGCGAGCAGCCCTTTACACGCCACGGAGGAGCAGCAACACACACATACAAACACGACAGCAGGAGTGAAAGACGTTCGCTCGCTAGCAGGTCCCCGTTGTCGCTGGCGACAAGAGCTACGATTGACATCAGCGGCAGCAGCAGAAGCTTCGTCTTCAGCGGGAGGCGCATCGGCGGGTCGTCACAGAGCTACGACCGAAGAAGAAGAAGCAGCGAAGGGTGGTACCAGTGGCGGCGACGCAGTAGAGACAGCGGCCGATCGCGGTTTTACTGGTAACAGGTCTGTGGTTGGCTTTGGTGGCTGAACGACTTCATATTGGCGACTGGTGAGGTCACGGTGACGGCTCAACATCTTCAGCGGCAACACTGAGGTAGTATCCGGTGGTTGACTACCGTCGGTTGGGAAACAACATGCTCGCCGGACTCATTGATCGGAACCACGAAGAAAGGTGGCGGCTGGAGAACTCCGATGATGGCGGCTGCACTCTTTGAGTTAGGGTTAGGGTTTTACGGGTGGGGAGGTTATATACCCCCGTCCCGTTCCAAATTTTCCCATAACTATGGAATCCGTCCCTCCCTTCCCCTTTTCTTTCAAAATAAGCCCATAAATTACCATTTAAACCTTGCCTCCTTAAAACCTTTACAAATTAAGTCTAACTTTTACCAAGTAGCCCCTCTCTCTAAATTTATTTTCAAAGGAAGTACAGAATTTACTATTTATCCCCTTCTTCCATAAATCCTTTCATATTAGGCCCAAATTATACCAAACACCCCCTGTCTTCTAAAAATCTTTACAAAGTAAATCCCGAAACTTACACCTTTGATCCCCAACTTCTCAATTGTGACAATCAACTCCTCGAAACCAACACCTTACTATATAATTATTGATTTTAGGCTACCATTCATTCATTAATTTATTTATTTAACTTAATAAATAAACGGGTGTTACAAAGTCAGGTCCGCCCTGGAGGCCAAGTTGGATTCCCTTACTCAAGTGAATGAAGGGTTGATCACTCAGGTTGAAAGTCTGGAGCGCGATGCTGCTGACCGTAACAGATTGATTTCTGCCGTTCAAGCAAGTGTTGAAGCTACCAAGCGTGATTTGGACTGGCTACTGCGTGTGGGTCTTGTTCGGATTGTGGTTAACCTAATTAAACACCCACACTTTACAAGTGCTGTGAGTCTCATCTGCCATTCTGCTTTCGTCGCTGGGGCAGAATCCAGTCGCAGTGTTGTGGTTTCTGGAGCGGGTCCTGAGTCTGTTAATCCTAGTGCTGGCGTCCCCCATCCTAGTCCTGTTGTAAGCGTAAATGAGGCCCTTCTTGCGTTTGCTAGTATGGACCATTCATATTTACTAGGATTGGGGGATTTGGATATCCAAGGGGTCCGGGAGCTTTGCGCTTTCACAGGTTCTGAATGTACTCCTGAGGGTATGGCGATCGATGTTGTAGATGATATTGGTGTTGGAGTTAGTGATGATGATTTAGTTGGCGATGATGATGGAGGTGCTAGAGGTGACGAGGGTGCTAGTGGTGGTGGTGATGGGGGTGTTAGTAATGTTGATAAGGGGGTTGGTGGTGATGTTGGCAGTGGCGGTGGTGGACCTGTTGGTGGCGTTGATGAGGATGTGGGTGAACATGCTGGTGGGCTTGCTGTTGATACTGGTGAAGGTGCTCATGCACCGTGGGCTACCTCTTCTGGGGCGTGAAAATCTTTTTATTACTTTTATCTTGTCTTTTGAACAAACAATTCGTAGGTTTGGCTTTGTTGGCCTTTTTTTTGTATTGCTGTTGTGGCCCTTAGGCCGTGTTGCACTGGGTATGCTTGTTTAAATGCACCGGGCTTTATTGGCTTTTGTTTTTGTATTTCTCTAAGCACTCTTAATTTAGTATGCCAATTTTATGAATGGGAGGATCCTTTTAGTGCTCTGTATTCCAATTTGAGGTTGGTACACTAAGTACGTGAATTTCGCGCTTAATACTCTGAGTTTTTAGGCGATACACTTTGTATCGACACACTGAATATGGGAGTTTCACGCTTAATACACTAAGTACTTAAAATCGATGCACTGTGTATAATACACTAAGTATTTAAAATCAATACACTGAGTATGAGAGTTTCGCGCTTAATACACTAAGTATTTAAAATCGATACACTTAGTATGCACTTAATAGACTGAGTATTTAAGATCAATACACTGAGTATGAGAGTTTTCACGCTTAATACACTAAGTATTTAAAATCGATACACTAAGTATGCGCTTAATACACTGAGTATTTAAGCATGAGAAGTTTGTGTAGCACCCGGTTCCCGGTACGTATTTTAAATTTAAATAATTGTATGTTTTTACACTGGGACTCGGCGAGTTGGAGGCCCAACTCGTCGAGTAGACTAGACTTTGGACGCGGGTTTTAAGTAACCTACTCGACGAGTCGGGAGCCCAAATCGGCGAGTAGGTCAGTCTGGATGAGACCCTAATATTTAGGGTTTGCACCCTATTTAAACACCTTATCTTGTCCCAATCCAGCCTCCATCGTCTCTCTCAGTCCAGAAAAGCCCTAACTCGAAACCCTAAAGCATTTGGAGTGTTCTTGAGCCATTTTTGTGTGTTTGAAGGTTGTTTGAAGGTTGAAGAAGGAAGTGGAAGCTTGGGGGTTCCAGAAGAAGCTAGTAGATCCAGAGATTTTGCTTCAATTCCATCTCATTCAAGGTAAAAAGCTTCAACCTTGACCATCTATATCTTAGATCTCTACTTAGGGTTCATTTCTACCTTTTCTAAGCTTTAGTAGAGCCATATTTGGGATTTTGTGGTTCTAAGGGGGTATGAATTAGGATCTGGAACCATTGAGGGTTCCCATGGCATAAAGGTGCCAACTTTATTTCCATAAGAACCCCATGCATCTTGTATACTCCATTTTTGGACCTTTTGGGCTTGAAGACCCATGCATGGACGTAAAGTTAGTAACTTTACATGTAATATGGACCCTAGGAGGTCAGGTCTATGTTTTGGATGCATTAAGACTAACTGAAATCGACTAAATAGTTATGGACAAAGAGGGACTCGGTGAGTCGCTCATACGACTCGACGAGTCGGGTCGCAGTTTCCCCCAAGCCTCTTCTTATAATGGACAATGTGTTGGGTTAGAAGAACACTCGGTCAGTTGGGCTCATTGTGGACCTAGAAATCATGGAACTCGGCGAATTCAAGAGCGAAACTCGACGGGTTCAAGACAAGTCCCAACTACATGAAGACGAAATCGACGAGTTCATGAGGAACTCGGCAAGTCCAGGACTAGACATATCTCCTTGCATGAAGAAGGACTCGACAAGTTCAAGGATGAACTCGGCGAGTCAGTTGTAGAAATTCCCGACTTTGTATGAAGGAGAACTCGGCGAGTTCGTGCATGACTCGGCGAGTATGGTCGAGGTTTTAGCGTTTCAAGGATTATAGGATTTGGTGAGTTGATTGGTCAACTAGGCGAGTTGAGTCAACCAGATGGTGACTTTGACCCAGAGATTTACTTTGACCAAGGTGTTGACCTCAACTTTGGCATTGACCTGAGTAACCCTTGTAATGGGTTAAGGGTATGTAACGGTAAATTAAGGAAGATTGTTATATGTAGGAGTTGAGAGGAGTTGATCCCGACATCGAGGACAGTTCAGACTACGTGACATTGAGGTGAGTTACCTTCCAGTAGAAGTGGGTCTATGGCCACAATGCCGGCCCACGAATAGGAGATGTTTGTTAGATGATTGTCTTTGTGATAATTGTCTGGTTTGCTACTATCTGATATGCTAGGGTGCCTTGTTATATATGTTAGTAGTAGTAGGGGTGAAATAGTCCCCGGATACCGGTTGAAAGATACCGAAGGGGTAGTTAGAACCCATGCATGCCTAGCAGTACGTTTATGCTATGTTATTATGTGGTAGGGGTAGGGGATGAAATAGTCCCCATTTACCGGTTGAAAGATACCGAAGGGGAGGTTAGCTCCCGGTTACCAGTTGAAAGATACCGAAGAGGAGGTTAGCTCCCGGTTACCGGTTGAAAGATACCAAAGGGGAGGTTAGTTCCCGGTTACCGGTTGAAATATACCGAAGGGGAGGTTAGCTCCTGGTTACTGGTTGAAAGATACCGAATGGGAGCCCAGCTCCCAGTATGCCAGCTAGCTACCAGTTGAAAGATACCGAGGGATAGACATTATGTGGTTTGTGGTATGATGGGGGAACTCACTAAGCTTTATGCTTACGGTTTTCAGTTTTGGTTTCAGGTACCTCTTCGTCGAGGGGGAAGGAGTCGGGACGGTAGCAGCGTATCGCACACACATGATTTCCGCATTTTGAGATCCATGGGATTGTACGCTGACATTATTACTATTGATGATATGATTTTTGAGACATGTGTCTATGATTTTATGGATTTATATGATATTGATGATGTTTTTTAGTCTTGAAAATTGGGATGTTACAGTTTGCTCTTTAATACACTGAGTATTACACCGAGCATTACAATTATATAATTTGCCCCTGACATGTTAGGTAATGAAATCTGGACTTGCTGACTTAAGCGCTAAACGAAGCTGCTTGGATGGGCGCTTCAAGCCCTTGGTACTGCTCGTCCAACTTGGTGGGGCTTGTCAGAAGTAAAATTTCCTTAAGTTCCTCGCATTCCAAGTCCTTGGGATTTTTCTCCCTTCCATTGTTTCCAGCGCGTATGCTCCGCTGTGATTTACCTCATTGATCTTATATGACCCTTCCCACACGGGACCTAATTTGCCTTGTGGTTGGGCTTAAATTGCCTCATTCCGCCTTAGCACATAGTCTCCTACTTTGAAGGCTTTCTCCTTGACCCTCTGGTTATAGTATTCTTCTACAGCGTGCTTGTAGGCGGCCTGCTGTACACCTGACCGTTCTCGCCGCCCTTCGAGGAGGTCTAGATTTAGCCTCAAATCTTGGGAGTTAGTTTCCTCTTCGGCGTGGATTGTCCTCAAGGTGCCTATTGTCAATTCCACCGGGAGAATCGCCTTCGCTCCGTATGTCAGGCTGAACGGGGTTTCCTGTGTGCTTGTTCTTGGCGTCCTCCGATATGACCATAACACTGCTGGTAGTTCCTCAGCCCAGTTTTCTTTAGCTTTCCCCATTCGTTTCTTGATCCCGTTTACAATCGTCCAATTGGATACTTCTATTGCCCATTCGACTGGGGGTGTGCTACTGACGTAAACCGCTGAGTGATCCCTTTATTAGCGCACCAATCTCTGAATGGATTTTCGGCGAACTGCAGCCCATTATCACTGATGAGTGTCTTAGG